AGGGTTTGAATCGAGAAGTTACTAAAAATCCATCGGATATTAAAGATAATTTCGAGTCATGACAGATGTTTAATCTGCAGACTAAAATCTAAGTCTTTTGAGGTACAAAGTCCTTGCATTGGTGAGGAAAGGAAGCTCAGAGAGAGGAGTGCCACTAAGATGTCATTCTCGTCCCTTGATAGAAGCTCAAAATTACAAGGTCCTTCACTAACAGTATTGCTTTAAATTGCGACGTAATACAAATCACTTTTAGGGAAAAAGTAATAAAATTTTCTTAAAATATAAAAAATAAAGTGAATACAAGTAAGAATTATTGTTAAAGATTCGTAAGAGTTTCAAAATTAAGGTAAAAAACCCATTCAAAGTAAACGTTTATGAAAAATTAGAAATATATATATAAAGGTTGGGGCAAAATTCATGGCAACTATTTTTTTTCCTTAAAGATACCAGTCCGGTTGGAAAATGTGACATATCCACTGGTGTCCAAAAGTTAAGCATAAATCGTAAAATGCGAAAAACAGGGAGTAAATATTCGTAAAATTATTCCAAATTTCTTGCGGATATTAATTGGGTGAAGAAGAAACATTGGGTTTGTGCAAAACTTTTCAGTCGTCTACGTCCTGCGCGAAACACCGGCGCATGTCGGAACGCGGAGAAACCGATTCACGCAGCATAGGTAGTTCAGACAAGTTTCGTGCAACTGTTGTGTGAAGGAACGTTGTTAAAAATCAAACAAGGTGAATGGCGGCACAAAGACGCAAAATGGACATGTTTACGAAAGGAAAAATCGTTCGAATGCTGGAATCCTCACGATCACAAATCGAAGTGTCTCGAATTCTGAATGTGTACCACTCTGTGATCTCAAGACTGTGGCAGAGGTTTCAAAGAACGGGAGATGTTACCCGACAATCAGTATCAGGTCGACCAAAAGTCATAACCCCTCGCCAAGATCGATATCTGGTAATTAGTGCGCGACGTCAGAGGGGCAGTACTGCCAGAGCACTGGGTTCGGCGCTCACAGTCACCACAGGAATACGAATTTCGAGACAAACTCTTTAGAGGAGACTCAATCATGTTGGCCTGTATGCCAGAAGACCAGCAGTTTGCATTTCCTTCACGTCAGCGCATAAACGCGCTCATTTGAACTGGAGTTTGAAAGATCAACATTGGAGTGTGGGAGAGTGGGCCAATGTGATATTCAGTGACGAGTCCCGGTTTAGTCTGAGTAGTGATTCTCGGCGGGTAACGATATGGAGAGAACGTGGAACACGTTTTGAACCAAGAAACATAACGGAAAGACATCCTTTTCTATCAAGGGAAGTAATGGTATGGGCAGGTATCATGATGGACGGTCGCACAGACCTCCATTTCTTTGACACGGGGTCTGTGACTGCTCAAAGAGACAGAGACGAAGTTCTTGAGCCTTATGTTCGCTTGTTTCGAGGTGCTGTCGGTCCTGACTTCATATTCATGGATGATAATGCACCATGTCACCGAGCGGTGCAGATTTTTGACTTCCTTGAAATGGAAAATATCTAGCGAATGTCGTAGCCTGCGACTCCCCTGATTTAAATCCTATCGAGAATGTATGGGATATGCTCGGGAGATAAATTGCAGCCCTTTCGCACCCACCAAGCTCCGTTACAGAACTGAAGAGAGCTCTCCAAGAAGCTTGGAACCGTTTGAGCCCACAACTCATTCATCATCTCATAGCAAGTATGGTAAATCACTGTGCAGCGTGCCTGGCTGTCAGAGGTGACCACACGCCTTATTAAACTGCAGCATCAGTATTTTATTTAATGTTTTCTTTCATTTTTTCTTTAAAATGTGAATCCTTGCTATGCTCAGTTTTCTTTCAAACTGCTACTTTGGATAATAAAATTATTATCATTCTTTTGATTTGCTTCCTTATTTTATAACCATTTTACACTCGCCATATCACGTTTCCCGTCCTTCTAATTTACAGTTCCTTTTTTATTCACATAATTATCAACTATGCTTAACTTTTGGACACCAGTGTACAGACAAAAGGACAAGGTGTTAACTAGACGTGGGGACAATGAATACCACTCAAATATCGTAACACACTAATTTATTATGGCAGTATACAGGGCAATATGGTCTTCACGGTGCAAAAGAATGACAACACAGTTCACGTACAGTTGACATGACGATGCGTTTGTTGTGCGTTTCTTGATGCCACTTGCCCTCTCTAACTCCAGTAGCATCCATCGTCTGCTTTCATCCATGAGCTGCTCGATGATTGCACGTGCCAAGTCGGTCCACACACTGAACGGTCGTTCCGAGCGTTGCTCATCCCTGGTTGACACACGTCCTAGCTGAAACTTTACCACCCACTATGTTACTGTACAGTATGGTAGAGCATTATTCTCAAGGTCTTCCAAAAATTCACTGTGACATTCCATCTCATTTCTTCCTCGGAGATTGGCTATTTTGATGTAAGCGCGCTGCTCAACACGGGTTGCTTCCATCTCACTTGACACTCACCAGCTGACTTATTTCACAGCCCTCGCTGCGCTACTACCAGCTATCACAGAGTCATCTGGTGTTCTGCATACACACCATGCCTACAGAACTTCCATATGACTCATATACGTTTGTGATCCGTTCACATATCTATAAGAAAAAAAATTGTTGCCATGATTTTTGCCCCAACCCTCGTATAATGTAGAAAAGCACAGGTACATGTTAATTCTCTACTTGGTCACCATAATTGTAGAGGCATTTGTTCCATCTATGCTCTAAAACCATCGAAACTAGCATTGTAGAAATCAGTATCAAGGTTGTGCGACCACATAAAGACAGCTTGCTGAACCTCTACATAGGCTTTGAAATGCTGACTTCTCAAGAATTTCTTTAAAGATCCGAAGAGACGGAAAATTCTTTGGTGTGCGGTCGGGTATGAAAAGAGGGAGTTCACTACCTCCCACCGAAAACGCTCTTTCGTCATCTCGGACATCTGTTCAGCTTCTATCGAATTCCGTGCATCAAAATCACACTTACCTTTGTGACATAACACTTGAATCCTACACTTCTACCAATTGCCGATGCACTTCGGCCGAAATTTTTTTAACTCTCTTTTATGGACTTCACTTGTATGTAACGGAATCTTTGAACTCAATTTTTACCCCCTTTAAAAGGTTCAGATTAATTCGAAATTCTTGTCACTTATCAAGGACCGATGACAATACAATAATTTAATAATTTTGTTCCATTGTCCTGATCAGGATTAACGATTTCCCATTTTCAGATTCCCTCCCGCATTTCGCGACTTATTCCAGATCCCATTTCTAGATTTGGCGACTAAAAGATTAAATTACAATTTAGTTCGATTAACTATAAAGAGTGTTTTTTAGTTTTTTTAAACTATAATTTATTTCTTTAAACACGATAGCCTTGTCATACTTCTAATTTCAATCGCAGATGATGCTTTGTCAAGCGGCCATCTTCTAACTGAGATTTAGTCATGTTACTGTAGAACCAGTTCTATCTACTGGCCTCGTTTGAATGCTGTGATCGTCTTCGTTATCTTCAGGGGGATTTTCAAACGGGGAATTTCCTCTTGTTACCTTACTTTTTGAAACCTCTGCTTGTATCTTATATATAAGTGTGTTTAAATATTAAAAAAGTTTAAAAAATAGTGGCCACATAATTATATTACACAAGTAGTGGTAATTAATTTCGAAACAATCGGCAATCTTCCAGCTATCATCTTGTAAGTTTTTTTTTAATAATCATTCACTATATTATTCATTATTTTAAAGTCAATAGGGCATTGAAAGAGTATTGAATTCGGTACGATTAATTTTTTAAATGATTACTCTTCATGATATTAGAACTTCAACTGTAAACAGCGTCTATCTTTAAGTGTAGCTCTCGTAACTAATTAAAGGGAATATATTAGTCATAATTGCTAATGCTCTTTTTTATCCATGAATATTTAAACTAAGATTGATAGATGCTGTGTTTGAGAGTTTAATGAATCATGTGTTTTTGTTTTTAAATGTAAAAAGTATTAAAGAGGCTGCGTGCCCTTGAATTCATTGAAGAAATTACGAAAATTGAGTTTTATGAAAATAACTATTTAACGATAATTTATTTTTGCTTTTTTCTCAATAACATTTTCTGTGATTTATAAATGTTTTACAAGACCTGTGTGTATATAATTCTTAAAACAAAATGCTTTACACATATGTCGAGTACAATTCTTAATAAAAATAACAGTTTTTTACCGAATTAAAACTATTTATCAAGGAATTGGTATTGTTAATGCATAAATAAAACATTTCAAGACTATTAAGAGCAATCCATTTTTTTTAATAAATTTCTTAAGCTTTTTTATGTAAAATAATTCCAGTAAACTGTTTCAAAATCCCCGTAACTAACATAATAAAACAAAAACTATTCACGAGCTCTTGTTTGTTAGGAATTTTGTCAAGCCTTCTTTCAATTAATCTTGTTAGATGCCTCACAATGTCCTATTAAATTTGAAGAAAGACAATTGTTTGAGGATTCCAATGGCATTCAGCGCATACCATTTTCCAGGCACGTTTCTTTCGCCTTTGTTTGTTATTTCTAAGTGTTATAAAAGTCATTTCTAATGTTAACGCATTACTCCGATTTTCGCTGAACTCTGGAGAAAATAAGAAGAATACAGACTTCACTTAAATTCGAAAGATTCTATCGCCGTAAGGTGTTATGGGGGTTGCATACTGAGGAAGAGCCTCGTCCTTACCGGTAAACCGAAATTAGGTTTCTTTTTTAATGTTCAAAGGGGTAAAAGGGAGCATATTTTACTGAGCTATCTTGGTATAGCATCTTATTCAAACCCTACTTTTCGTTCAATCATTGATAAACTAACTTTTATTTATTCACTCAAGTTCAAATACATTTTTAAACTTATAGTAGATGACACTTGATGTTATTACAGTTTTTTAGTCCAACACCATATATAAAAAGGAAAATCGCTCGTCTGTCCCTGTAGCGCAATAGGTAGCGCGTTGGACTTCTAATCCAAAAGTCGTGGGTTCAAGCCCCTCCTAGTTTGGCCTAATTTCTGAGAATGGGATTTATAAATGAATAAATAGTAACAAGCAAAGGAGTGATAGTTCAACTTCGTATGTAAAATGGGAGATCGCTTTTTATTTTGCCACTTAAAATTGTGATTATGTCACATGTATGTACATATTTATATAAATTGTACTTATTTAATGAAAACTAACTAAAATATATATATAATTTTTCTTTGTTGACTTAGGTAGGAATTGACTTTAAAAATAATTTTTTATTATTTGTTTTTATTTGATTTTTATAAGGTCCCACAAGTCAAAGCACAAGAAACAGCGTATAATGCTGCAAAATATTTATAAAGAGTTTAATTCAAAATATTTGTTCATTAGAAGCGTCAGTAGTGTTTTAAAATCTTAATTCATATAGCTGAATTTTAGAAATCTTTCGTACCTTTCTCGGAGACATTTTTTGTTTTTTAGTCGAATTTAAACGTATAAATCTGTTTTCATCAAATTGAGTTATGGATTTTTATTTAAATTATGTTTTTATACTTTTGGGATGTATAATTTTATGCTGTTATTTGCTTAGAGTTTTTCTGTTTTCAAACTGATAATCCCTAACATACCATTTCACACACATATCATGGCTTACGCAAAATTTCATGCATACAATGGAAATGTGAATTTTAAATTTTGTTAAAAATTTGAATCATTAGCTTTGCTTCTGGGAACAATATTTGTTATCTAAAATAGGAAAGTCAATTTGTGGAAGAAATAGGAATGTTCGAGGATATTAGCTAATTATAATTATTCTTAGTTTTGTGAAATAAAATTTCTTTTATGTCTCTGTCTTAGTTTTAAATTAATTAAAAAACGATTTAGATCTAACATGTATAGCTAAAATATTTTTGCTATTAATAAGTCAATATATAAAGAGTTACAGTTCTTTAATATCTTTTATTTTTAATTCAATGTAAAGGAATATCATACTATGCTTCATAAAAAGTACGTATGCATATATATACAGATAAAAATAAAAGCTTTGGCTTAAGTTAACGATTTTCAGTAAAGAAAGAACGTTTTTTATATTATTTTTGTACATATTTCAGAACATTCACTGAATTTGAAACATTTTTCCAAAATATAAAGCAAATACTTTGATACGAAACCTCTAAAATTAGAACTTAAATAATAGCGGAAGATAGTTATACAAAAGAGAGTAAATTACTCTGCAGATCGTTTCCAACCACAAGTATAATGCACGATAGTTAGAATTCGAAGAGGATATAATGAAAATGATTAGACTTGACTTGATTTTTCAAGAATTTGTAAATATATCGAGAGAACCATTTTTCGTATGAAAGAGTTGATAACTACCCACTAAAATAAAGTGCGTAGATTCAAGTAAATGATACATTTCAAAGTTTGTTTCAAATTTAGATTCTGAATCGAGTGGTAATTTTTTTTGTTGCTTTTATTAAGAGAGCACTAAAATGCGCTTCGTTAAGAGCATTGAAGTTTTTTGTATGCAGTTTCTTACGAACACATTTCTATAATTTTTTAGTCGGCATCCCACACACATACATTTATGATCCTCATTATATATTAATTGCTAAAATCTAAAAATAAGAAATTTAAATACTCCTTTCGCAATAGATTGAAAGAGCCGAAGCAATAATTCTTATTTAAAATGAACTAAATTATTATAAAAATGCTAATAATGTACGAGATTTAGTAATATTAATACATAGTTATAAAATATTTATGTTACTTAAAATGATTGAAAAAACACAAACTCCAATTCTTTAAAAAGGGGATACTAACTAATTTGCTACGTTTCACCATGCTAAAATGATAAAATATAAATTAAATTCCTCATCAAAAAACAAATTTACATAAGTAAATATATACATAATTCTTTGAAAACAATTACTCCACAATCGTGTTTATTTCCTGAAATGAGCACATTTTGATTGAACCCAAAATTCGATTAAGGGGTGTGTATTAATAAAAACTACGCATCCTTTGTATCCTGAGTTCAGAACATACAAAAATAAAACATTTGCATTTTAGATATAGGTCAATGGTTATTCATTAAATGTAATTCTTATGTTTTGAGTAACTGTTGGGAGGAAAATGCCATTTACATAATAATATGCCGAAATTCCAATCAGCATTTGAATAACGCTCCTTATAACTTACACAACTATAATGCCAATATTCCTACCAATAAATTACTTAGGAAGTTGAATAAGAGTTTCAATGGAGTTTTGGATTAACAATCCATTTTTGAATTTTATTGCAATGTTTCAACAGTAGAAACTTCTGATAAAACTAAATATATTATTTTTATTTACATCTAGCTCAAATGCAATCCAGAAAATTATGCAGAATTTAGTCGAAAGGGTAATTAAATTGTTTCGTTAACCCTTTAATGCAGAACAGAATAGAAACAGAAAATTAATTATTTAAAGAAACATCTCGTTTCGAAAACTTCAATAAATATTGTTTTTAATAAATGCTTTCGACAAAGACCTCCCAGTAATCAGTAATGACGTCTCCATATTAATGAAGGTGTTTTGGAAGAATTGAAGGAGAAGTAATCTCAATAATTAAAATTAAAAGTTTTCTATTGTGCGTTGGAGAACAGAAGGAATTGAACATTAGAGGTGTGGATTTTCTTTTTCAATATCGTCTAGAAACTCTTAATGATCTCGTTGCTCCATAATTAAAAAAACCTAACATTTAGTCAGGACTTCTTCTTTTACTTTTCTCTCAAATTAAAAACCAGGTAACTTGAAAAGGAATTAGTTTATGCAAAAATTTTAAAATTGTTGTTTTTAAACGGAAAATACTAATGAGATAAATAAAATGAGAGTACTCAATTTTTAATATTTGTATTATTAAATTTTATCTTTATCATAAATTTGAATGAATCTAATCTAAAATAGTTATAAATTTGTATTAGGGGAAGAGATTTATATATTATTTTTGTTTTTTCAAATGTAGAGATTACTTTATTTTTAAATTTAACCAATGTTTTATTAAAATAAATGTTTTTCTTGGTAAGTTTAGTAATCATAAAATACTATAATTCCAAAAATTCATTGATCTTCTTTACTGATAATTTTCAATTATTTAAGGAGGAAAACTCAATAACATTTAAAGTTTTTAAAATTATTAGCGTAAGATACACGACTTCTTCTGCTCACAACATTGTTTCTCTTTAAAGTTATTTTTTGTTTGTGTTTTCTTTTCTTCTTTATTTTATTTCTTTAAAGTTGATTTACATAGATTATGTTAATGATATTCATATGATAAGCAATTCCTGAAGCTCTAAAACTGTCTTTATATGAACTGAAATTACTTTTTTATGCGACATTGATTCATTGAAATAATTTTAAGAAGTTTAAAAAATGGCCCATTGTCACACAAAAAAGAAATATTTGAATGATTTTCTGAAATTTAAATTTGCAGACGTCTTTATACATTCAAAGAAAATAAAAGACAGATATGTGTTGAACTGATACATTTTAGGTATCTAATATGCATAATATTAGGCATGTTCAAATGAAAATGATTTGAATCTTTGCATATGCAAACAATTTTCAATGTATTTTCGTGAAGGATACGCGATAGTGAAGGCGTATGTACCATTCACATACGTGAGCAAACAGATTTGCGATAACTATTGAGTTGATGCATAATTATCCGGCTTTTTTCAACAAATTTTATTTAACAAAATCAGTAAAAATATTTGACAAAAACATGCTTAAAGGATTATTCGGGAGCGTAGTCACCGTCTACTTCAATTGCTGCTTCCCATTTGCTCTGGATTGTGGCTAGCATGTCATGAGTTCGATCCCAGTACCCCTGAAGACCCACCGTATAGGGGAGCGATGCACGTTAAATCTGTCGAGAGCTCAAACGTCCTCCCGTTGGTGTGGTGTGGTAGTTAGGAGAGGGGGTGCCAGCTCAGGTGTCGTCCGCGTCACTTGACCATGGTTCAAAATTACGCAGACCGTCCCCAAAAGCCCTCGTGTCGCTGAACAGTGGGACGTTAATATTCACTCACTCACCCATTTGCTTGGCAGACGGTCAATTCCACAAGCGAAGAAGACACGATTCTTAGAGGCGATCCACGCTTTGACTTCGACCAACAAATCATCTGATGTCTCGAGCCTGATCGTCGAAATCCGATGGCCGACCTCTTCCTGGCTTAACCTCCAAGCTGGTATCACCTGATTTGAAACGGGCAAACCCCTCCTTACACTGACTTTCACTGATTGTTCCTTTGCCAAAAAGTTCGTTGAGATCGCGAAATGACTGTGCTGCTTTTCATCCTTTCTCGAAGTGGTAGAGCATAATATGGCAAATATAACTATGGTTTTCGACACGCATTTTTCTAAAATATTAGAAAAGATTATTTTTATACAAAAATAATAAACAAAACTCTACTTTTCACTGATGAAAAATGCGCTGATATAAACGCCGGATAATTTTGCATCAACCCAATACATTCTTAAGAACGTGGCATTCATTTAAATATGATTGATATGGATGCATCTGCGACCAAAACGGATCAGCAAACTGTGGTAAAGATTTTAACACAGGAAAGGTGGTGTAAGTCGAAATGAGCCTGAGCTTACAACATTTGTTGCATTACAGGGATGACGGGGATGACTTTGTGCAGCAGATAGCGGCAGAGGATGAAACCTGGTGTCACCACGTTCAGCTGGAAGTCCGTCGGCATGCAATAAAAACAGCCCGACTTATATAAGCCCTAAAAATTCAAAGCTTGACAGTCAGTCAGGAAAGTGACGTTGACGACCAAATGCAGGGGTGGCCAACCTTTTCGGGAAGAGTGCCCCTTTCTGATTTAAAAAGATGACGCGTGCCGTTTCGAACAACAAATGATGGAAAGGGTTAAAAATTGCTACTTATAAGCTTATTATGGGATTTTTACGCAAATAACACATTTTTTAGTGCTAGTCTAAGTAGTAGGGATTTTAAAATAATCAGACAACATGGCAA